TACCCTGCATCCGGTTCTCAGTACTCCGAGTCCTCGGCTGCGACTCAGCTTGGCTACGAAAGTCGGCAACCGGCTGGGATTAATTCAGCCCTTCGAACACCTACGTGGAAATGGAAGACGGTAATCCGACACCCGGTTGTCAGCCCGGCAGGAAACGGGCGCGAGCAGGGAGAGAGCGACGAGCGATATGGCTCGGCGCCGCGAGACACGCGCGACCCCGGAATGCTCGCTCGTCGATATATTTTATTGTCGCGCGGACCGTAAAGTCAGCGACGTCTTCCGCTCGCCGTAACGTCCACTTTACGACGTATTACAATGATCGACGTCGCGGCGCACCGGACCGTCGCCATCTCGGAGTTCGCCTCTCGCGAACCCGGCGTTAATGCCCTCGGAGAGAGCGCGTTTTATTCCGCGACCCCGGCACGGTCGGGCGAATCGAACGGCGCGTTTCGAATTAGCGGGCCGGAGCTGGGCATCCGCGCGATCGGCCTGCGATGATTGCTTTCGATTTGATCCGATTTCGCGCGGCGACGAGGATGACGACGCGCGGAGGAAGGGAGGCAGGGAGAGCGCAGCGAGGTCGGGCAGTTGCATTTGCACGCTCCATAAACGATTAATACGCTCTCTCGTCACGTCCCACGTGTCGGATGACGGCGCAGAGCGAGAGCATACATTCCCCGCGCGAACAACTCTCTCTCTCTCTCTCTCTCTTACTCTCTTTCTCTCTCTCTCTCTCTCTCTCTCTCTCTCTCTCTCTCTCTTCTCTCTCTTTCTCTCTCTTTCTCTCTCTCTCTCTCCGCGACAGGAAGGTCCTTCCCCCCGACTTCGCCTGGGCTCCAAGTGTTCCCGGGCGAATATTATGGGCGTGATGGGCTCGTTCTCGGCCATGACACACTCATTGACTATGGATACCTGGTACTTATCATATCTACAATCTCCATATTCATTAAGGTGACATGCATGCGTTACGTGTAATTAGATTAATTATTTTATTCATAAAATATAGAATTAGAGAGAGAGAGAGAGAGAGAGAGAGAGAGAGAGAGAGAGAGAGAGCCTGTGAGTGCGTGTGGGTTAGATGTTACACCATTGACCTCTTTAGCTATTTATAATATTAATACGTACCAATGAAAACGTAAAGACATTAAGCATTATGAAAAAAGGGTATAGGATTAATAAAATGAAAACACGCGATACACGAGTGCAGTTGATCACATCGTTTTTTTTTTACTATATGCCGAATAACGCTGATCTTTAAAATGACAGATTTAGGTCGCTTTAATAAGAATTCTTCAATGTCGCCAGCGATAATTGACGACGTCAGTGTTTTCTTGATCATACCTGGCATTTTTTATAATACAGAAAATTTATTGCGAAAAATATTACCTCAGCCAGGGTTTGAACCTGGACCTCTTCAAACCCTGGCTGAGGTAATATTTTTCGCAATAAATTTTCTGTATTATAAAAAATGCCAGGTATGGTCAAGAAAACACTGACGTTGTTAGTTCTCTTTAATTTTTCTATACATGTATAATTACTGTCTCCCCAGTAAGAAATGATTCTTCGATCGATGTCGATTCGATGAATCAGTTTACACTGGGTCAAGACACCTGCCTGAATAATTCACGAGTTTACTTTAAGGCAATTAATATGCTATAAATGCTAAAATTAACGGCTACTACAACCAATCGTATTGTAAAGTCAATCTGAAAATATTAGATGCGTATCTTCATTTTCGTTAAAATGAGAATGCGAGTTATCTCTCGCGGAAAGACAGGGGCAGAGGCTGTAAGAAATCTGTTTTATTGATCGTAACAATAACATTGTAGCGATTACAAATTTGCACATTCCCGTAGATGGCGATCTCGCGCGTATAGATCCCCAAGTTCGGGGCAGACTCGATCGATCCCGAAATAAATGTCGCCGAAAGCGATACACGTAACGAGGATGCAGAAGGTTGCTAAATGGTACCAATGAGGGGGAAGTTGTGGCGCGCCATTAACACCAATTGTGGTTTCATCAATTTTCATCTGCGAGGCTTTTGGACCGGCACCGGACAGCAAAGGTGTCAGGCGTGACGCGCTCGGCAAAGCGACACATTTTCGGTCAGCCACGTTTGCCAGCCGCGCTCCATGACATATCAAGGACGGTCACGACTATTTCGTGAACGGACGCGTGGACAGTCAATAATTACCCTGCAGCTTCGTGCGGTCCCGAGTGTTAGCTGATACAGCGCCCAAGACCGAACTGCGTGCTATTAAAGCGCACATATGGCATGAACCTTGTGCATCCGCGTGCAAAATCGGTAATTCGTTGCCAGTAATCAACATCAGTCAACTTGGTACCAGCGGCAATTAAATAAATCAGTATCAATTAACCAATATTAATTTATCGACCGACAGCCAACAAGTATGCGAAGCTATATTACATGCGTCACGAGAACGCAATGCGTTGCAACCGTAGAAACTTATCATGGCGGATCTATAACGATATACGCGCGGCCCAGAGTGGCAATTAGTAATCCCGCGGGTAACGTTGACTTAGGCATTAATTAACGCCGAAGAATTTTCGAGTCGCCGTCCCGGCCGCGTCGCGACACTCCACCAGTTAGCTTCCAACGATAAACAACGAACCACCTTCCGTGCGGCTTTCCATATCTTTCGCACGCTGCCGCGTTACTCCTCGGCGTCAAAGACGACGGTAATTTGCGCCTCCTGCGCGCAATATACGTTACTTACGTATCTCTTAATTAATTCGTGCCACGACCCGCCCGGGAATTACTTTCGCATCGCCAAACGCGCGCGTCTTCATCGTCCTCTCGCCCCCTCGCCGAAGCCTCGCCAGCCTCCTCTCTCACTCTCTGTCGCTCCTCCTCCCCTAGTTCTCGCCACCCTTGCGTCGGTCTCGCTTCCGTCAAGCGACGTCGAAGTTTAAGCGAAACTTGCCGCCGAAGGAAGCTTATCTAATAGTCACGGCCGCCTCCGCACGTAAATTAGATAATATCGAACACCCAATAACTAATTAGCAACTCCGCGACGCTTGTACATCTTTACTTGACAATCAGATAGCCACGGCATCGTCAATCACATTTCGTGTGTCTTGCGCGAAAAAGTTTTCGATCAATTAAACGTATCGCTCTTGTTGTTCTTGTTCCGCTTGAAAAATAACGGAAAGTGATACTTCTGTAAATGGATCGTGCAACGTAATAACTAGCAATCCGATATCCTACGTGTTTACACATCTAGCGGCAAGGACGTGTGCCTGAAATGGTATCGTACGATTCATTCGAACGTCGCGTCTCTGCGACAAACGATACGTTTATTCCCGCTGCTTTCGGACAATGAGCTGCCACGTCGCGTCGAACGAAATTGCCAATAGTTTGCCGCTTCATATACGATATTAATCGTTCAATAAGAAAAATAAAGCAACAAGTACTCGAAGATAACACTTAGAACGCATACTAGTGTACAAATCATCACGCACTCGGGTGCATTTCACGTTTCCTCGCGTCTCGCATCTCTCAAAACCCTGTTACGTCTATGTTATGCCCGTTTCTACCAATGCATTAACTTTAATCTCGGTTTAAATGACTCGTTATCTTTTTCTAATTCTAGTAAAACGAAAAAAGGATACAAGTTGAACTGAGATTAAAGTTAGGCCCAGTATCACAGTGGCTAGTTAGCTTAACTAGTTGTTAAGTGGTGATGCCAACATCTGATACAAAGTTGGGTAAGCTTGGGCCTTAGACTGCATTGGTAGAAACGGGCATCAGCCGGGTAGTACACGATCTCTAATATCACAAAGCACGTATAGATATAAAGGCTACTTTCCTTTCAGAGAACACAGTCGGCCTTTTCGACACAAATCGACACGTGTCGCTTTTCATTTAGAAGTCGATTCAAACTCAATCGACACTTTTCGACTCTGCCGAAGAGGAGAGCGTCGGAGCGTGTTCTCGAATAAAGAGCGCATCCGCTCCGAGTATTTCGATAGAATCTCTTTTCGACAGCACCTTTCCTTTAAATCTTCGCCAGTGGCAAACTGTGCTCGGGTGTGCTTTAACTCGCGTCGATTTGTGTCTCCTGAAAGGAGAGCAGCCTTAATTAACTCGTGTCCCGCGGCCACGTTTTCCCTCGCCCGCTGCCCTCGAAGAAATATTCGGTGTGCGTGTCTATGAATTAATAATTAAAAAGACATTAGAGCCGTCAACGAAACGCGCACGTCGCGTCTGAACGATTGCAAATTTTCGCCGTTTCCCACGGCCGCTGACGGCCTCGGGCACATTCCCGCACAGTGCAGCTCTTCCGAGACGCCGCGCTAATTTTATCCCGTTATGCTTGGTGAAGCGAGCGACACGTGGCAATATAAGTGTCTCTTGAAACTAATGAAGTATAATGCACGTAACGTGACATCTCCATCCGTACAGCGTTTCTGTTACAACGTTAGTTTCGCGACGGGCTTACTTCGTGCACATCGAATATCGCAATATCGTCTCGTATCAACGCACGTCCCGGGGAAACGCTCGGCAATCCTCGAAGCGATTTCGACGCTAGCATCAACATTATTATATACAACACGAAAAGTGTCGCGCGAAAGGCAAATGTGTGCGCTCCGCGTCTCAAACAGCTTGTCGAGGCTTTAAACTCGCGCTCAATCTTTTCAGAAAAAGCATCACGTTGTGTGTCCCAACGTGTAATCCTCGAGTGCGTCGAGTGGTTCCACGATTAGTCGCTCGCGTCGGACCGACAGGAAATCCGGTTCATCCTTCAATTTGTCATAGCAAACTCGATTGCTTGCGCTAGTGCGCGCCGAGTGCACGCTAAGGCTTGTTCATAGTCAAGTCTTGTATTTAAGGGTTGTCTTAAATACCTCTTGAAGTATTTCTCATCCGGCAAAATGATCCGTACGGATCTTTTTTTTTGGCCAGATAGTTTTTCAACTTGTATTTAAAACAAACCTAATTTTATTTAATCAGATATATCCGTTTGTTATTATGTAATTGGATTGTCCGATTATAACCGGACATTTTTCTCAGTGTACTTTTAAGACAAAGTTAAATATAAGAAGTGACCATAAACTATAGCTTCAGTGTGCGCCGAGTGCACACTAGTTCAGGCAACCAAATTCGCTGTTAGCATGCACTCAGTGCGCGCTAATGCAAGCAACTGAATTCGCTATCAGTTGCTCGCGGACCGACTACCGCTGCCAGTGGAATCTTGCCTGACGATATTCACTCTCATCGGCAGCATGACTCCCTGGGCGATGCCGTAGTGTTCGTACGCGTCTTTTCCATAAGCCACGTTCACCTCCTCGGCCCGTTTGCTCGTGCTCGGCGACGAGCTCGCCGGCGAGTTCGCACCCTGCGGCGCGCTGAAGCTCTGCATTGCCAAGTGAGGAGCGGCCGACGTGGTGATTTGCGTCGCGATTGGCGGCGAGCCTTCGACTCGGCCTGGGAGAGGCTGGGGCTCGGTTGCAGACGCGTTGCTTATTATCGGCGCTGCTCTATCAGCTCGCGCGACCGGCGGAGCGATCGATCTCGCCGCTCGTGAAGTCGACAACGCGGGATTGTCCGCCCGAGCTGTCGCCGGATGCGACGAGACGGACGTCTTGGCTGGCGCGCGCGGCGGTAACGGAGGGTCCTCCGTTTCCGGTGTCCGCAGGACTGTCGCGGACTGCGCCCTTCTCGCCGAATCGGCCCACGCCTCGGACGACCGCGCGCCCGAAAACGGCGCCGTGTGAGCGCGGTTCTTCCTGGCCGGGATTAGCGGGCTCATCGGTACGACTCTATCCGAGACGCTGGTCTTCGATCCCGATTGTTTGACAGGAAGCGGGGATGAGTCGCGCGAATCGTTAGCGCCAGGCGATTGAAGATTGCCCGAGAAGTTATTCGTCGACACGTCGCCGACGACGTTCGCCGAAGGCGCGGAGAGATCCTGAGTCCGATCGCCGCCGTTCCCCACGGCGGCGAGCTTCGGGTCGCCGTTGGGGAAGCTGGCGAAGCGCGCGATCGTTTCTCGCTCCTCGGCCACTTGAGGAGCGAACGGTATTTTCCTTTCGAGGGGCTTCACGGGCACTCTGTTTTTCGACACGACGCGACCCGTCGCGACCCTACCGCTGCCTCTTCTCTTCCTGGGATTGTTCGTCGCGACGCTCGGACGCCTCTCCGGGAAATGCCTGCCCCTCATGGCGACCGATTCCACCTCCTCGCTTCCGTCCCCGTCGTCGTCCCTGTCCTCATCTTCGTAAAACTCCGAGTCTTCGTACAGGTCCGACTCGTCCTCCTCGTTCTCCTCGACGATCGCGCTGGCCTGTATCCACTCCCTGATACGATCCTTCTTCTTCGAGCGGTCCACCGTCGTCTCGATGCCGTACGTCGTGAGAGTGTGGAGCAGTTGATTTTTCTCCTCCAAGGAGCTGTGGAAGCTGTACATGGACGGGCAGAGCTCGTCCCTCTCGTCGGCGCCGCCTGCGGATACAAAAAGGAATGTCGCTGAGAGATATCGTGCACGTATCGCCGATACCGTCGCGATGCAAAGTCAACTGACCGTTCAGCGCTTTTTCGACCCCGAGCTTCGCCAGCCATCTGTCTTCTAAATATTTATTTACTTCCAACACGCTGACTGGCCGCTTTTCAGCCTTCGGGTCCAACAGCCTCTTGAACATTCTTTAAGAAATGTCAAAGTGTGTAGCGAGCAGTTTCTTTTCAGCCATACGTTTTCTCTCTCATTGTGTAATTAAATTCTTGCTAAAGCTCCTGACCGTTTGTCAGGAATGACAATATTTTTGACAATTTCATGAAAACGCAAGATAACGCGCACGGCGAACGATTACCAGCTAATTATATTGCACGCGAGACGCGCGCCGACGTGGCGCTTAATTTCGCATACTCGGATTCCCGAGAGACCCACCTCTGCGCCCGCGAGCTGATCAGCTGAAATAATTTCGGCTTCTTGGCGATGTTGAGCGTCGCGTTGTGCCAGTTTTGATACCTGGTGTAGCGCGGATCGTCCATCGCCGCCTTCTGCCACGGCAGGCATCCGGTCAGGCAGACAAATAGGACAATGCCGAATTGCCAGACGTCGTGCGACGTGCGAGCCCTGAAAGTCGCCGTTCCGTTGACGTGAGAATGCATATCCGCATGGCCGAACTACGTCTCGAGTATCGTTCATGCGCACCCACGCGTTTTTGGTATGGCCGAAACTCGAATACGCGGTAGAGTGAAATTTAAAAATTCCGAAAGAGAAAACGCGGGAGAAAATAGGATAAAATTTTCTCGCTCGCGGTGAGAGTGACAGCGCGAAATCTCCTCGCCGTATATTCGTATTCGACAGTACACCGTAGTCTCATAAAGTCGATCAGTGGATTCCCAGATGGCACGGAGAATCCGAAAAAAAAACATGCTTTTTGAATTGTCACGTGAATTTTTTCCTTTTCCGTTCCACTTCCGTTCTAAAATATTCTTGAGACTTCGAGAGGAACTCGCTTTCCTCTCACCAATCCTGAGCGCCTTTCCAGATGCGAAGTGATCTTTTTACTACAAGAATTTGCAACGGAAAGGAAATTTCTTTCGAAATTTCTGAAGAATTTTGTAAAAGTGAATACTTTTTGAGTTCATAACGATCTGTGCTATCCGGGTAATCGCTGACCAGTTATAAATGTGAGATCGCAGTCGTATAGAGGCAAGTCCTCTACTACGAGGCTCCTAATACGAGACAATGGCTTTTCAACATCCAATTTCACAAATCTTTTTTCGCAATCGATGACGCGTATTAATTTAGCAGAGAGTCCGTTATCTCATATCAGGAGCCTATCACGTAATAGACGACTCTCCTCTACTTATAACCGCGATCAGTGACTATTCACTGGTTTTCAGTGATGGTCTACTGATTGATTTGCGAAGATAAGGTCGGCCGACATCAATTTTATCCCATCATCCCCCTTTCCCTTCACTTTCTGTGCGCAGAAACATTACGCGACAACAAAGATGCGTAGCAAAGACAAGATCAATTACAGCATATGTATATAATTACTTGTACGTCTCGTCAGTGTCGATCTGCAGTACCTCGGGCGGCGAGTACGGCAGCCACTCGTTGTGCCTTCGCACGACGGCGTTGAACCGCCTGGTCTCGCCGAAGTCGCAGAGCTTGATCCGCGAAAAGTCGCTGCGGAACACGAGTATATTGTCAAGCTTGATGTCGCGATGCACCAGCTCGCGGCTGTGTATGTGATGCACCGCAGCGGCGAGTTGCCGGGCCACCCTCTTGGCGTGCAGCTCGCCCAACCCCGTCTCCGTCACGTTCGACGTGAGATCGCCTGAAAGTCACCGACAGCTAAAGTGTGTTCTAGCGCAGGGGCGACGAATGCCGCGTTCTCGGCAAAATCTCGTTTTGCAAATGACGCGCCCCGGAAAATACTTAGAGCTATTGTTCACTCTCGTCAACCGCGAAAGAAATGGGTGTGCCCAATTTCGTGGACTATCAGTGCAAAGTTTACACGATTTTATATATTATATAATTTTTTATACAATGTACGACCCAGCGAGAAATGACTCATCGATCGATTCGACATCGTCTCGACATCGATCGCCGAATCATTTCTCACTGGGGTATTGCGATGAAAGCCGGAGCAACCGTACTTGTTTTGAGAAGAACAAAGATTATTAATGTTCGATAATTGGACCGTTAATATTGAGAAGAAGTATTTTATACATTCATAAATAATTTGTGAATCAAAGCGAAACCTTTTTATGAGAGATGGTACAGATCGAATTGCACCGAAACCATATATTTCTTATTTCTTCAATATGTTCCTTTCGCGATAATCAAATAAGTTTCCTGCGATACACTGGCACGCGCGCGCCAATGGTCCGGGCCATTCGTCAAAGTGAAACAAACGTTTAATACAACTCGGTTGAATCAAAACGTCGATTTACGCGGATAGGAAAACAGATTGCACCGGCGGAGTTAGAATTCGGAGCGAAAGAGTTAACGAACGCGACTGACTTGCAACACTGGAAAAAAAAAGTTCGCTACCATAGCCAATCATGGTTCGCTACAAATATTTTGCTGCCATAACTGTAAATTTCTAAACAACAGCAAACGGTTTGCTGCCGCACCCGATACAAGGCACAGTAGCAAAATATTGTATTTATCACAACTAAACATTAGCTGTCCATATACATGCAGGTCTTAGCTACGGCGGCTACATTGTTTCCGCGAAGGTGCATAAAAGGTCTCTCTCACCGAGGGGGGCGTATTCCTGACTGAAAACGTAGAAACCGGCCGTCTCGAACGCCACATCGTAGGTGGTTATGATGTTTCTGTGCGCCGACAGATGCAAGCCGTAGTGAAATTCCCGGAAGAAGTCCGAGACGCCGGTGTACGCCTTCGGCAGGGCCTTGAGCACCATCTCGGTCTGCGTGCTACGGTGCTCGGTCAGCAGGATTTTGCCGAACCATCCCTCGCCGACGATCTGCAGGATGTCGAACTCGTCGATCAGATTCACCTGTCCCAGAGAATAGTTAGCACTCGACGCGCTGCCGCACATGACGGGGCCGTGATCGATCGGGGGAGTCACGTCGCTGCTCTCCGAGCCGCGAATGACGGATGAAGGGCCCGGGCGTTCGCCAGTCGGGAACGTAACGACGCTGAGCCACGGCTGGGACCGAGCCGCGGGACAAAGAACAATGCGCCGGCCGCGTCGCGAGGGAAATGCAATCCCGACGGGGAATCCCGTGGGGATCCCGCGCGAGCACGACGACGATGCGTTATCCGCCGCGCGCTGAATACGACAGGACGCTCGCACGCCCGACGCCGGATCTCTACGCAACGTCTATTTTTACTCCGACGCACGCTTCGGACGCACGTTTTCATCCCGACGCGAACTCGGCACACAAGACGATTTCTTCTCAGCACCGTTTCATTGAGCCGCCATATCGTATTGCGAGCAGGCGCCGCGTCTTTTCGCCCGGATGGACGAGAATCAAATAAAAGCTGCGAATTTCTTTGCTCAAGAAATTACTCTTTACTCTGACATTCGATGTGACATTTCTTTCGCGCGTTGGTGCACGGAGAGACTTTTCTCTTAAAATTCACTCTGAAAATCATGCAATCGTGGGTCAATACGGCATTTTAAAGAATGTTATGGGAGCTCTTTGAAACTTTACCATACATTTTACTAGTAGTTGTACTTATATACGTTTTACATTTAATGAAATGTACGGTGAAATTTCAAAGAACTCTCAAAAAGTTCTTCAAAATGCCATGTTGTTCCACAATTGCAATATTGCATTAATGTTACGAAATGTAGATTCAACGTTGAAAAGATACTGCAAAAACGTCTAATGTCCGCTGAATTGTAATGTCTTGTACAATTCGACATTCAGAAAACATTGTTAAATTATACTGAGTTAACATTGGTCGCGTTTAGCAGAATATTTTTTACAACTGTTGGAAGTGCTGAAATTGAATTATTCCACTAAAAAAATAATAGTCCAATCTTAGCTCAGAAAATTTCTGACGGTTGCAAAAACATGATACATATATGTACATTTCATAATTATACATTTCTTAAGTATCTATTTGAGTGTCAAAAGATAATAATGGGTTCAAGATTGTTTTAACGTTGCAGCAATACAAAGAATTAATGTGCAAACGTTAACCTAGATTCAACGTAGAAAAGATATTTATACTTTAACATTCAGACTTGCAACGTTTCAGCGCCATTATTTTAATGGCTATATTTTACGAGAAAATTCTCTTCGTGTACTATAGACGGAGTACTGCGGAATTTCGACTTAGCCTTGAATCGTGTCCATATTAATTGAAACTGGCAATAATAATTAAGATCAGCCGGGAGAGATTTAATTGGTTCCCAAGTCACACGAGCGACATTGATTTTCCCGTGTTTCAACATCTACGCGCAAACATAAATGTCCACTGTTATCGGAATGTAAGGAACGTTTCCTATACGAGGTAGGTAATTACAGGCGTAGTTAATTAAAATCTTTCCGATTAAACGAGTCTCAAATTCCATTTGGATTCTGTGTCATCGGCAAGAATGCAATCACGGCTGTGAGTCCGTGTGATTCGGCGTTAGAGATACAAAGTCACGAAGTGATCCAACGACGAGTCACGGCCGCAAACGTCGTCGTCGTCACGGATCCTCTGTTAGGGAAACATTGGTGCAATGCCAGGCAGGAGAATGGCCGTTAGTCGAGCGGGCATAATGAAATGCTGCTCGTTCGCGAATCCTATTTCGGGATCTCAATGTCTCGAAACTGGAAAAGCTTCGCTTGCCGCCGTCGCTATCGCCGCCGCCGCCGCCGCCGCCGCCGTTGTTTAGGCTTTTATTCCCGAGAGAAGCACAAGGGACTTTAGGGAAATGCCACGCGGGTTGACAAAGGAAAATCCAATTGTGACCGGTTTTTCGTGGAGGAGAACTGGCGGAAGAAACGGGAAGAATGGCGTTACCTTTTCGAGCTCGAACTCCCGTATTCTGTGAATGGACCCTCCGATCGCCTTCTTCATTCCGCTCATCTCGATAATCCGCAGCTCTCTTTTTTATCACCGAGAAATGGGTTTTACGGTTCGACGCGCGGACTCAATTGCGGCGACTGGACGCTACATCCTGTCGCTTCATAAATCTCGCAGTTATCATCGCGGCCGTCTCGTCCTGCGTTTCGAAAAAAAAATCCCACTCCGCGAATCGCACCCGATTCTGCAAAACGTTTGATTGATGTATGAGAATAACGCGTCGCGACTCGGCGAAAGAAGCGGACTAATAAACGTACAATCGTGTTACGGCGCGATACACTCGCATTGTTAGAGAAAAATCCCCTATTGCGAGATAAGCTTCTAATATGAGATAGCAGGTTTTCAACTTCGATCACGAAGCCTTTTTCGCAACGATTACGCGATCCAACAATGAATCTTCCACAAATTTCAGTCTAAGGGCAATAAATTCACGGTGGAACCAACGGATGATGCCTATTAATTTAGCAGAAACTCCGCTGTCTCGTATTAAGAGTCTATCTCATGACAGGAAACTTTACACTGAGAAAAATGTCCGATTAAATATAATCGAATAATCCAATTACACAATAACAAATATATCGAAAACGTAATCGGAGTAATTAACCATCGAAAACGCTATTTGATCGGTTTAGTTCCGATGGAAAGTTTTCTCAGTGCGCCAATTGCACGCGTCGACGCACGTGCGCGATGAAGAATAGGATTCCAACGACACGTAGGTGAGAAGCGGGACGCGGTGGAAGAATCGGACACGTTCCGCCGCTAAATGAGTTTCAGGGTCTGTCCAGACAAATTTGCATAGGTGCACGAGCGTATGCACAAAGAAATTGATTGGCCCACTTCCTTATGCATGCGCTTATGACCCAATCAGTCATTCCTTACGCATATGTTTATGCGCTATGCAAGTCCGTGTCTGGATAGACAAACTCCTTTACCGCAGACTTCTATACACTACCATAGTATAACTAGTATATCCACTCTGTCATTTGTTTTGTTTCGCGTCGATCCTTTCTGCGCGTCCGCCATTATTTTGGTGGAGCCAATGAGACAGATGTTGTACATGTGGTAGTGTGAAATCAGTGTGACAGTGTGACGGGATTTTATACCAAAACCGTGGCGGAATACCACGTGATCGAAACCGAAAGGATCAAAGGACCGGCAGAGAGTGGGCATACTAGTTATACTATGATACTGCTAGACTGATTCCCCACTGTTTCTGAGATAGAGCACATTTTGCTGAAGTCCTCGTTCAGATGAGACATGAACCCTGGAAAGCGTTCCACTTTCACGCAATGTATTGTAAACCTTGGACAACGCTTTACCATTCGGGATTCTGCGCGTAGGAAAGCGCCGACGGTGTTCGTCAACAGCAGCAGTTGCACTACCATCGCAGAAACCGTAAACACACAGCATATCTGCATATTCGACATTTGCGAATACGCGAGGCATTTTGAACATTTCTACAATGTTATGCGGCGCAACGGTCTAACAGACGTATAAGAGTAAATTCCCGCGGACGTTTACAAGGTTGGATGGCGGGTGAAGTGTATAGAAAAAAAAAAGTAAATACGCGAGGCATTCAAGTAGCTCTATCTCGGAAACAGTGGGCAATGGGACGTGTATTCGTATGAACATTTTCGCTTAAAATGACCGATACTACCACCTCCCAGAATATTAACCCTTGTTCCTGGGACAACCTGTATAGAGGTCCGTGGAATAGACCCTAACGACGCGACGTTTCATCTCCGACGGGAGGACGCAGTTAACGGCCTGAAATCGCGTGTATGTGTGCGCCGTCGGTGCGCACAGTATTTTTGCGCGGCGTGTACGATTGTTGCGCAAGACGCCGGGCGAGATCGAGTGGCTGCAAATTTCACGAGGAATGCGCGGCATATACATACCATTTGGCAGATCGCGCCCGGATCGACAAGGTGAGATACATACGAGTTGAGCGTTTCCGAAACATTTCTAGCAATTGGAGAGGCGCGTACGTGCGAGAACCTCTTGACGCAGAGGCGTTGCAGCGTTCATGAATAACGTATCGGTCCGGCGGTATATTTCCGGGTTTCCCCGCGACTCCTCGTTCGCCCAATAAAAATAAGCGCGCGCACGTGCCTTCCGTTCGTTTCATCGCGGGCACACGTCACGAGGATTGCGATGTCGTGAAGACTAAAACGTTAGTGCCTAATCTACAATGTGCTCTCTGCATCTAGATACATTCTATTTTATATAAGCAAATCGAAGGGCTTAGAAAACTTGCCGGCAATGTACGATTGTACAGTGCACGATACATAATTTATCCACTTGCGCACGTTTTTTTAAACGTATTTATTGACTATGCAAAATCGAATGTTTCCAGACGCAAAGAGCACATTTGTAGATTAGGCTTCACGATTGCTTCATCTTGAAAAGGGCACGCGATCTAATCAAGTCCGTTTTGCATCCGGTTCATATGAACTCGACAAGCGCAGCCTCTCCCGTTGCACAAAAGGGTCCCGGTTTCCTCCGCGCGTACGAAAATGGAGGAAATATCCGCGAGCGCCCGATAAATGCATTTCATTGAAATCCCATTCGTATCGGCGAACGCGAACTTACGGTCGATGGAACTCGCGGGTCCGGTCCCCCGTCGTTATTTATGTAAGCGCCGCTCGCGATTCACGGAAACGCGCACAGCAAACGGGGAGGTTTGTCCATGCAAATTTGCGGATCGCGCGCACCTCTCCCCCTGCGCTCGTAATCCGCGGGCCGGGATTCGAGGAGGCACTCGCGGGCACGAATGGGGCGCGGTCGAACACCAGCCGAGAGAAGGCCGCGGCGTCTCCGTCCGGGACATCCGCACGTCCCGCGGGTGGAATCCGCGCGGCGGTGAACACGCGGCGAACACGCGCGCCTGGAGAAGCCGCGCGAGAGAGAGACTCCACGTCGACGTCTGCCTCCCTCTCGCGAGTCGCGCAAGTCGTGCGGCCACGCACCTCGAGTGATCTCACGACTGGTCTGCCGTGTCCGGTGCACTGTTTGCCTGTGTCTGCAGTATTTATAAAACGCTAACCGGAAAGCACGGCTAGCGGAGCTGATCTTGGCGTCTTGCCTGCTTGCCCGCGCGCACCCATCGCCTCTTCCTAAGGGCGCGCACCGGCGTTGCGGTCACTGGCGAACCTAAACTCCACGCCAACACATGGTCCCGGGTCCCGATCGCGGCCAGATTCAATTTTAAGCGATCGATCAAATTTTATTTTCGACGATTATTTTCGACGATCGTACTCGTTACGTTAAGTATATAAAAGAGTTCGCTTGACCGAGACCGAAGCGAGCCGAAGCGATCCGTACTGGTGCAGCGGCCGCTAAGGCTCGTGGCTTTTAAATAGTTACGAATATAGGATGTTTAATAGAAAACTGAATAGTAATACACGATGAAGTGGCAATTCTTTTCACATGAGCCACGCGACACCTCACAAGCTGTGACTTGCGTTTTATTTATATGCGAAAGCAGGGTTGGGTAAGTTATCTTTCTTTTTGACTAAGTTAAATTAAAGTTAACAGCCTTGAAAATTTAACTTAGTCAAGATACAAGTTTACCCCTAATACAATTAATTGAATTAAAAGTTAAGTTATTAGTAAAAAGAAATTAAAAAGTTAAAAGTTAAATTTGTTTCATTTTTACATAAAATCTCAGAGACTTACGATCACGTAAATTGCATTGAATTTCGCGACTAGCGTTTGAACAATCGCTACACGGAATATGGCCCATTTCATATGCAAACAATTTCACGTGAGTTCAAGAATCAAAACCCCGTATAATGACCGTGTTCCAAAATTCATTACCAGCGCTAAAGCTCTATAGTACACGTATACAGTAGATTATAGAGCTGGCAGTGAATTTGGAAACACAGGGACTACCGATGTAGGCATCTCGCGACGCCTTTGTTTATGGCATAGCTAACTTTAAGGTCCGGTTTTTCATTTTCTGGTTAACAGTTAACCAGAAAATGAAAAACCGAACCTAAGAGAGAGAGGTAAGTAAAGTAAAAGTTAAAAGTTATCGATAAGATGTAACTAAATTCAATTAAAAGGTAACAGTCTATAATGTAACTGAGTTAAGTTAAAATGATTTAACTTTTTAACTAGACACTACCCAACCCTGTGCGAAAGTAATCGCGCATGTATGTGAGAGAGAGAGAGAGAGAGAGACCGAAGGGTGAAATTTAATTTAATTAATTTAATTTATTGCAAAGAGATACGGTGAAAGAAAAAGTAATACAAAAAGATCGAGAGCAAAAGGTAAGGCATCAGCAAGATTGCCGCTACAAAGCCTACCTGCTAAAATTTGATATAAAATAAAGGTTGGACAAATGTAAAAGGTATAAGAAGAAAGAAAAGAATAAAAATGAGTAACTTATAGCGCGCAGTGTGTCGCTCAAGGAACCTTTATTAGGCCAGTATTACATTTGTCGTGCGACAAATTTTTTAAGTGTGTCGATCTGGCTGCAGGATAGGAAAGTTCTCGAGTATCTAGAAATTTTCTAGCTTGTAGCCAATCGACACGCTTGAAAAATTTCTCGTACGACAAATGTAATATTAGGCTTGGAATGTGTGACATACCCGATGCCAGTGAGATCGGTATAATTTTATTAAAAGATTTCTACGTTTGATATATTTGTTACCAATAAACGCTCTATCAACTCTGCCCGTGATTCTGGTGCGCAAACTTTTTCACTATTTCTCGCATGACGAAAAACCGTATAATAAATACCACATATTAATTCGATGTATCGCGCGCATAAAAATTGCCATTTAATTTTATCGTTCACGCATACGCAGTGGTTGTAGACATCCCGTCGGTCCATTTATTTTACATTGCATATACGTATGACACGAATTTACAAGCAAACGATAAAATTAAATATTCATCACGTCGCCCGAAACGTATAAACGTTGCGTAACTCCAAAATCAACATGGCCGGATTTGTAGTATTCATCGAATCAGCAAATCTGGTTTCGCCGAATACATATCGACATCTATCACATTTCATCGCGAGGGCGTTTCTTATTTTTTTTAATGGACAGCTCGACGGCATCGAACGCTGATTTTTTTTCGAAAATCCCACGAGTTGTTGTATAAAATTTCTTGGTGCGAATATTTTGACAGTTAATTTTATTTGGGCACGGGAGGCACATCGAAGATTAGATGCGTAAACATTTCAAGGCTTCATGTAGAAACATTATTTTCCGTTGCATATTTAGATCGCATCGAATGCGCCCATGCGCCACCTCCATATTGAATACCATCCTACGACATCACGCGGGGATTCACAGAACGTCATCAAAAGGGATTAACCGACCGAGAACGCTATCGGTCTTTCATTAAATTGTTTTTACCCAAGATTGTGATAACACTATTTCAGTTACGTTTTCCGTGTGTTCTTTCTTTCTTCTTCGCTCCTTTATATCCCTCGCCGCGTTTCAATAGCGGCAAATATTAAAACGATGCAACTGATCAACTACGTTTTCGACCTGAGCAAATCTCTATTTTTACTAAAAATATACTAGTATACTTATATATTTTATTAAATATGTATAGTAACATTTGTTTAATAAGATCAGTACAAAAATTCGCAAGATCGGCAAAAGATTTGATTCGAAAAAAATCACCGTGCGGTAACGCCCTCTCGGGTACTGCAGCTACAGCGAGAAGCCGGTTCGGACGGTATTGCATTATTTGAATAAAGTATAACAATTATACATATAATTTGTCCCACGGTACGAATTTTAATCAACAGAAATGACCGATGTATCAATTTAAGCTATCGATGAGTAAATATTACAATATAATTAAGCACGGATAAGATTAATTGATATTTAATTCTTCAATTAAACGTATCGCGATGAAATTCGACTCAAAGTTCTGCATTCGGACCAGCATTTGCATGATTCCGTCAATAAAAGAAAAATTTCAAGATTATGCATTTCGCGATCGCGGTTTCTTCTCTCGCCACGTGAATGATCCTGCGTACAGACAAAAACTCGGTCAAAAACCGAGCGCCGCGCCGGTCCCAAGAAAAATGACGTAGCGCCATGAACACCTCGGTTGAAAACAGTCTGTCATTCGGCGCGGTTCAGTCAAGCGAGACGGATGTTTCATTTTCTACGAGAATCTCGATCGTCTCGTACGAGAGATATTAACATTATCAATCGCGTTTAAGTAATTGTCGCGATTCGTAATCATATCGTCGATTTCTACGGTGATTCGTCGAGAATGTGTCACGCGTAATTTGAAGAGAAAATGCGATCAAAAGCGCAAGGTAATACACGAATCGTCGGGCAAAATGATAACAAATTTAGCTGGAACTACGAATTGAAACTTTCAAATACTGTCTTTTTGATTAGACTTCTGAACTGAGTGTTTGAAGTATGAAAATATTCTGCTATGCGGTCCGCAACTTACCCTGGTATTATTTTGCGCACAAGAGCTAATGCCCATTCTACACCTAGGGATGATCCTACTTGTGGCTCATCCGATACTCCCTTCTATACCTAAAGCTAATCCTACTTGCAGCTTATCCGAGGGAGTAGTATAAAGTGTAAAAGGTTTACACTTTGGTTGGTTTCCAATCGTACCAAAGTACAACTACAGTGTACCTTTTACACTTTATACTACTTCCTCGGATAAGCTGCAAGTAGGATTAGCTTTAGGTATAGAAGGGGTATCGGATGAGCCACAAGTAGGATCATCCCTAGGTGTAGAATGGGCATAATGGAAAGAATTACAAGCGCAAAAACTATACATTGACTGTGTCGGTAAAAAAGATGGCCGAAGGATCTATTCTCTTTTATCTTATACTTTTTATTTAACTTGTCCATTTCCGCTTGTACAATTTATCTCGAGAACTGTGGAGCGCGGATATCGCGCCGCGAGTCGAACGTCGCGGTTCGAGGATCGATAAAATAACCCTCGCCGGGTCTCGAGCGGACTCGCGGCGCGGGAGGTTTCGTAGTTCGCGCCACCGCGCCCCGCGGTGGTGCCGGGACCCGCCGCGAGATGGCGGTCGCGGCGGACGGCCGGCTGGCGCTGGGAGCGCGTCCCCGAGTGTCGTGTCGTCGACTGTGCCGAGAGTACGTTCCACCAGCTTTCCCGTGTGTCAACCGCGGGTGTGTGTGCGCGCACGCCCGTCATCGTCGTGCCGTGTCTCGTCGTAGTCGTCGTCGTCATCGTCTCCTCGCGCCGTCCCGAGGGGGGGAAAACGTAAACCCGCGATCCAGTGTGTCGCACGTCGGTTCTTGGGGAATCCGCGATCCCGGATCTCGCGCGCGATCCTCGAGGGCGAAAGAGAGAGAGAGAGAGAGAGAGAGAGCGCGAGGGAATAACGGAAAAACGGAGAAACGGTCAGCGCGGCGACGTGCGTAGAGGTGCGCTCTCCCATGTACGCGCGTGTTTGCGCGCGGAGCGCTCATGTGTCCGTCTCGCGCGCGCGCGCGCGAGCGGCCGTACGCGGGGAAGCGAGACGGGCGGTCGCGAATTAACGGAGAGGAGTGAAAGAGTCGGCGGCGACGGCGGTGGAGGAGGCGAGGAAGGTGAGAAGGGAAAAAAAAGTGGGAAGTGTGTCGCCGTCGTCATCGGCGAGGAAGGTGCCCCGGAAGTCGCCTGCTGCACGCGCGAGAGCGTCCGCGCGGCGGCGGCGGACGGACGAATAGACAAAGAGGAAAAGGTGACCGCGCGCGGGTGGGCGAGGTAGCCCCCGACGTGAGAAGAAGGGAGAGGAGAAAGGGTGAGACGGGACCGAGAATACGGAGTGCCGGGAAGAGAGAGAAGAGGTGATCCATCAGCGGCCGCGCGCGAGTACCCGCGGGACGGGGAACGGCGAGCCGAAGGGACGAGGGGGAAAGAGGGAGAAAGAGGCGAGAGGACTGCGTCGCGGACGGAGGAATGCGAGGAGCGACCGTGCGGCGCGCCGTGTAAACACGCGTCTCGGGTGAACCGCCAGCGACTCGCCAGCAACGAGTTCGATGTCGTTGGCTTCCTCGTCGTCGTCGTCGTCGTCGTCGTCGCCGCGGCAGCTCCGAGACGGTTCGCGTCGCAGAACTCGCGCGGGAGGCGCAACCGGGAGCCGTGGCATCGATCATCGTCGCCGCCGGCACGGCAGACACGCGTAAATGAATCCACATCGCAAATGACGGTGGGCGGACTAGCGAGGTGCTGGCTGAACTCGTCGTCGTCTTCTTCGTCGGTTTAACGGACCAAGAGGTGAGTGGTGCACGCCTTTCCCCCTTCGGCCTCCCGAGGCGCCTTCTCGCTCCGGCGAAACGGAGCCCCCAGGTGGACTCTTCGGCGAAAATGGCTTCGGACGTGCCGCCCTGTCCGCCGTTCGCGACTGCTTTATTATTCCTAAGCGGTTGTTGCACCGCGCGATGCCCCGATAAGATAATTTTTACGCGATTATGCGTCGATAGTACGCAACGCCGTCAGTGGACAGTTTCGCCAAACGGCCGAGTTTTCCCGATTTCGCGACGTCCCGGTCCGCGTCGTGGCCGACACTCCGACGCTGATCCGCGGGCGGATTAATCGAGCTTTCAAATTTCCACCCGATCGTGCCCGAGAGAGCGCTGCACCGAAATGCAAGCGGCACCGCCTTCGGTATATTTCGCGTCGTAAATCAACGATACGTCACAGTTACCGAGTATAACGTCCGTTTCTATCACCGCGGATTAACTTTAATCTCTTCGTAAATTACTTCTCATCTTTTTCTCATTTTTACAAGTACGAGAAAGAGATACAAACTGAGTTGGAACCGAGATTAAGGTTGATCCGCGTTGGTAGAAACGGCCGTCGAACATTTTTCGGCGACGTAAAATTGCACGATGGTTTTTTTTTCTTCTTATTTTCCGCGACACTCATTGCGTTTGTCGTGCGACAAATGTAACAGTGCCCGTCGACTGCGATGTACCTATGACTTTGTCGATGGTGTCTACATTCCGTGTAGATTCTGAATTCAGAATTAGCTTTATTTATTCCTCTTATGCCCGTTTCTACCAATGCAGATTAACTTTAATCTCGGCTTAAATTATTTCTTGTCTTTTTCCAATTCGCAAAGCTAGAAAAAGATACAATGTAAGTTGAATCGAGATTAAAGTTAAACTGCGTTGGTAGAAACGGGTATTAGAGTTTACAATCTTCTTACATTCAGACTTATACCTTAACTTAACAAATTAATAAAATTCGCATGGCTCAAATGTGGTAAACACAAATTTGAAGGAATAAAGGACTAAGAGCCGTGACAGGGTGTTAGGGTCAAAATATTTTATTCTAAATTTATTGCGAAAAAATATCACCTCAGCCAGGGTTTGAACCTGGACCTTTCTCTCGCTGGGCGGGCGTCTCAACCAATTCGACCACCGAGGAATATGGCAATATTCATCGCAATAAACAGTCTAATGTTGATTCCCGACTGCCACCTATCGTGTAGTATTCAGTATTCGAAAACGAGAACTGTGCGCCGACTTAAATCGTCAGTCTTAAAACACAGTATTCTATACAGTTATTTTAACTTATTTCCTACATATCCTACATTTTAACACGTACACGCACCGGCATAAATGCTGTCCCTATCCTTGTGAGGTGCACGCACACAACTAGAGTCCCTGTAGTTGTGTGCGTGCACCTCACAAGGATAGAGACAGCATTTATGCCAGTGCGTGTACACACACACACACACACACACACACACACACACACACACACACCTCCCCCGGAGAACGAAATAGCACAGAACAGAGTTTTGTCCTTTTCTACGTGAACCTCTACTCCCACTGCTCAAATAAAGACAAACGCTCGGTCTAGATACTATTATGTCTGTGGTCAGAGCACAAAGCAACGTAACAGCTTACGACAAAGACGTAAGCGTAAGCGTAAATTTAACGCACAAGCTTTGGCGTACGTCGTACTTACCTCCCAATTACATCTACAAAGCTTGTGCGCTATCTACGCTTACGCTCGCGTCTTTGTCGCAAGCCATTACGTTGCTCCGTGCTCCGACCCTAACTCGCGCTTGTCAATCGTGCCTCGAGTGCCGATAGCGCGGCTGAAAAGAGCGAAATCCATCGATCGCGTCTTGCGTTAATTATTTGCGCGGAAACGACACCGCCTCCGTACTCGCGCTCGCACACACACACACACACACACACACACGCACAGACACGGACACACGCTCGGCGCCAGTTGCGTCAAAGGAGGCGCGTTATCAATGCAACATCGGGTCTTTGGATTTCTGCATTTTTATCGCGAGGAAAAAGGAAATAGTTCAAGACGAACGTCTGCTTCTCCCGCCCGCGATGATACGCGCTACCAGGCGCGCAGCTTCGAAAGCACCTCGCGTCGATGCGTGTGTGTCGGTTGCGTAACGGCCGCGTCACCGGTAACGTCTCGCCGATGTTACAATGCTTATCAATAAATAGCAGGCCGGCCCTTGGCGCTATTTACGACGTTATCGCGCGATAATATCGATCGTGCGGGGGAAACCGGGACACCTCCGGCTCGTCCTCCTCGGGGCAAGAGATATTCGGGTGGGTCCGCGTCGTTGTGCATCCGACAAATTCGCCACGTCGCGCACGCTGCCAGGTCCTGGAGACCCTGTAATCAGAGGCTGGCCATGAGAGTTCGTCAAACTCCTACGATTCTACGATCGTAGAAGAGCGCGCAAGAATTTGACCAACTCTTATGGACAGTCTCTGATTAACAGGGTCTCTACTAGGTCCAGCCGATCTCGCGACCGGGTGAACGCAGAGCTCTAGCAAAAGTTACTAACTTCGTTTTTCAAACTATAAGGCCCGGTTTTTCATTTTCTGGTTAATTGTTAACCAGAGTTAGTCGATTACCTGTCTCTTCTCGGATAATAACGTAGAAAAAGACAGAGAGATTCGACTAACCTCTGGTTAACAGTTTACCAGAAAATGAAAAACCGGGCCCAAGGGCCAGTTTCACGAACGTCGGTTAACTGTTAACGGAAGGTTAATTGATTCTCTGTCTCTTCTTGACTAATAAGTTGGAGAAAGAAATAGGGAGTCGACTGAACTCTGGTTAATGGTTAATCGACGTTTGTGAAACTGGCCCTAAGGCCCGGTTTCACCACACGTCGTTTAACTTTAATCTTGGTTTAATTCACGTTTGTCTCTTTCTAAAGTAACAGTTGGAAAGAGACAAAGAATGAATTAAGTTGAGCTTATAGTTAAGCGACGTGGGTGAGGCCCAGGCCTAAGAGAAAGATATAAAGTGAGTTGAAGATCAAAGTTAACCTGTGCTGACACGGGCGTAAGACAGTTTTTTCGCCGACGTATTTAACATTACATGATGTACTTTTTCTCGTTTCTATAACTGTGATGTATATGACAACTGAAACTACATTAGTATCGTAATTTTTCTTACTTCGTCTCGTGAAGTTGGCACGAAAATTTATCACTCGTTTGTTTTTTACTCGATATGCCAAAACTACTTTTTTATTTTACGAAGGAACTCTAGAACTGTAACAAGAAAAGTTCATGTTTTTAAAGATGAGGTGCTAACTTCACAGAGGTGCATTAGTTGACATTAGTGTACAAGATTTTGGTCAGCGGTTTCCCCCTCGGATTGAGGGTAGCGTTTAAAAATCTCCCCCGAGGAATATTTTCCTCGATGGCGATTCCGACACCATTTGGAGCGTTTCCGATCTACCTCTCGAGTACCTAAACTCATTTAAAAGGAAAAAGTGCCGCAACCGTTCTGTCCATCACTGTACGTTGCGAGACGAAACAATAAAGTTTCTTCGGACTAATCGATTCGCCGCTTGACGGAGACACTCGGGCACTTCCGAGATCGCAGATCCGGCCGAGGGACTCTCCTTTGAGAACGCCCGCGAATTGCTATTGCGATAGGGAAAGTTAAATGAGACGCGGCGAGTAATTCACTCGCCGATAGACGAGAGGTATTGTAATAGTCTTGTATTTCGTGCTATTTGTGGAAAATAACGCTGATAACAAGCGTTTCGTAATTTCGCCGTCCGGGGTGCGAGCGATGTTGCGCAACATCGCGATAATAAAAGCCGGGAGGGAAAGGGCTTTCCGTTAAACATTCATCATTCGAGGGATAAACCGCGCTTCGTGTTTACTTTTATTCATTAATAACAGTAATAGCTGTTGAAGTTATTACAGTAATGACGATTGTTAATACGCGCATTTTGCCAGCGTTATTAATGTATAAACGGTATATCCCGTTTAATGCGCGTAGGCGCAAGTTGGAGTGAATTTTATTAGGATCAAAGAATCCTAATGAAGCAGAATGCGAGCACTCTGTGCGCGCGCCCCCTCCCTCCTGTAAATTGCATTTCTGTGAAAGTAATTTGCCAATTACATTCTTTCACCTAAATTAACATCTGGCTTTCGGGCGGTCCGATAAAGTTGGACACGTGAAACATTAATTACGTATGCTTTGGCAGAAATTACAATTCGAATAAAGCCGCAAAAGTGGTACACAACGGCGCTGAATTTAATAACGATATTATCATGTGTTAACGCTTATCGCTCTATAATATCGAATATAAAATTATACGGACACGTTAGAGTAATTGATGTTTGATTAATTTACGTTAATTAAAATTAGATACGGTATTTCGTGGAAACGCACGGCACGGTATTTGCGATATTCTCCCCTCGTCGCCGGAGATTTTGCGATCCGCATTTCTACGGTAATTGATATCCAATATCGTAAGAGTGAGAAAAACGATTTGATGCCATGCGGAAATCAGGTTTTATCTTCTCCGATGTTTTCCGCGAGCGTCACGCGCGCAAAGAAATTAATGCGATCTACGATTGTCGATATATCGCAACGTGTGTCTGCTACTTGAGGCACGCTACTCGATAATAATTGGCGCAATATGTCTTCCGTACGGTTAAAAGTTCACCTGTTTTCTTTTATCGTTTTGTTTTACGATCGGCGACGTTTATCACTTATTTATAGGTAACTCACATTCGGAGAGAATAACTTTACGTCTACGGGAAATGCCTTTAACTCAATTTTAAGAACAATTTCTTCCGTCACGGATCTTAAGATCGCGAGGATGAAAGATATAAATAATTTATTAATTATGAGAAAAGGGCCGAAAAAGCAAATAATCAAATATATTTACTTCAAAATTAAGTTAAAATTAAAATTATAATAATAAGAACGAAATAACGAACGTTATGAATAAATTTATTAACTGGACGAAATATATTAAC